AAATGCCAGATTATATCCTAAAACATGACACTAGACTGAAGGAAAATGTCATTGTAAATAAATGGAACAAGTGGACACACAAAGTAACACAAAGTTTTTTGTGTGTATCTTCTTATAACCCCCAGCAAATTGCCAATATTTACTTCAGTTTACACATACTTGTATAACAAACTATCAATAAATATCTTCAAATACATTTCTGTTGTTCTACTTTGGAGCGGGGGTCTCAAGCAGAAATGACTTGGAGGGTCACCTCGCAATTCCATACATATATAAATAACAACAAATCCAAGACTTAAAAACAATAACTCCCGTTAGGCAACTGGACATGACATTACTAACAGACTAATCTACTGACATCCACTGTTCAGCGTTCCCATATTCACTGACACTGTGCTGCTACTCATCTTTGTATTTAACCTATTTTTATTTGCATTTTTATTGTTGTTTTGGTGCTGTACTGCTGCTGGAACTCCCAAGAGATTCAGAAACTTCTATCAGCTCTCGTGTGTCCGTTGTAGGTACTGAGTCGTACTACATGTTGTGCCACACTACTTTCATTTTAATCTGAATGAAAATAAATCAATTCTACTGGCCTTAGTCGTGTCCCCTTTTATGATTTTCATATCATACACACTATAGAGCATGTCGCCTTATGTTTGTAACACAATTGCAAGTCAAAACCTGCAGAGGATTACTCTGCTACTCAACTAGTAGAGTTGTGTTCCCATTTGTAACTTCACGTGGATATTCCATATTCTTGATCTAATTCTAATCTAATCTAATGAACTAATTACTATCCTATAGTCATTGGTGGCACTTGTTAAGTGCAATCATTTGGTGTCACTCACTGGATCTTTAGCGACGGAAAACAGGTCTCCTTCTCTGTTGTACTTGAACTGAGTGATGGACCGTTCGTGGCCCTGCAGTAGGATGGGTTTCTGTACAGAAAAGCAACATTTGCAAGTTCATTTCCTATTTTCAAAAAAGTGCATTAGCCCAGCTCAAACTCCAGTCAAAGGCCAATTTCCTATTTATAACGACAACTCTTTGTTCATTATTTAGAACGAAAAACTAACTACGAATCATTTTAACTTCTGACATAAGCTAGCGTTAGCTGCCGAGACGCATATGCTAGCGTAAATTGCACTAACCGTCTCAACCGAACGACTACCATTTCAAACAAAATGCAACCGACAATTGGCTTCAGAAACCCACCATTTAAATCAATCACATGTAGCCACTGTGCCCAGATTTTTACTTAAACGCCAGCTAGAAGCCCAAACAGCTAACCGGATCCGCAACCGGAAATAAGGACCGTACAACGTATTCCTATTTCCGTTACACAAACAAGTTTATCTCTTAGAACTTTTTCTTTGATAGAAAGAGCGTGCTTTGAGTGTAACAGACAAATTGGTCATTGGTGAAAATCTACAAAAATAAATAATTTAAATATAAAATAATTTCAAATAGTTTTTAGTTAATAGTTATTTCAGCTATGTATTTTCAGCTATGCCTTTTCAGCACGGGAGTTTCATGCACAAACCTAGCCCACTTTGCTATGGAGGAGGAATTTGAATAAATGAAACAGCAGCTAGCTCTCACAGTCTTTTTATTGGGTATAAGTTAACAGAAAACACTTCACCTTCACAATGAATAATTTTAAATTACATTCAGATACATATTTTAAAGGCAAACAATCTGATAAAGAAGAAAATGTATTTATCTTTGTACAGGAGCAATATTTTTTCACATATAAATTAGTAAAGTAAAATAAAAAAGTAAAGTAGAATGTTCGGTCAAAACGTGTTTTTTTAATCTGACCGCTAGAGAGCAGCAGGGACTACTGTTTAGAGATTGAGTCCGGGTAAATACATGAACTTCAAGTTGTTGTTTTTTTTCATTAAAGAAAAGAAAAAGCCGTGCAAGGTAACAACCTCTAGGTGTTGCGGCAGTGCAATTTGTAATATATGTATAATAGAAATATATGCATATGCATAGTTGCAAACATTGTACTCTTAATAAATAATAATAAACGGTTTAACAAGAGGAATGGACTTTTTTTGTGGACATTTTCTAAAATTGTTAAACAAACAAAAAATGGCATTAAATCAAAACTCAGCATGTAAGCAGACATGGACAAGAATAAGAAGCATCCTTTAAACAGACTTTTGCAGTACTGTATATGTTTTGTAAGCTTAAAACATATGACTATTTGATCATCTGATCAGGAGAATAAGTTCTAGATACCAGTGTGCATTTATGAGTGTGTGTGTGGGTGGGTGGGATTCAGTATGAATGGGAGAGATGAAAAACTGAAATAGAGAGAGAGAGAGAGAGAGAGAGAGATAAGCGCTAAGCGGATGTAAAAGGATCAGTGAGTCAGTGGCTGTTTGACAAGATGAGACAATACCTGAAACCTGCAGGTCAGCTCCTGCTGAGTGTGTTGTGTGAGCATGCATGTGTGTGTGCGTGCGTGTTAGCCATGGGTCACAGCCTTTGCTGTCATGTCACAGTGTTCCCATGGCACTTCACAGCCACCTGCAAACACCTGAAGCGGAGAGTGTGAACGTGTGTGTGTAAAAAAAAGAATGGATGAGTGAGGTAACA